GACCCTCTAACTCATTTTTGAGACAGGGTCTCTCTAAACCTGGAACTCACTGACTAGGTAGGCTAACTGGACAATAAGTCCAAGGCGTTTATCTATCTCTCCCCTCCCCAGCACCCAGCTTTTACAGTAAGGCTGAGATCCAAACAAGCCCTCGTGTTTGCATGTCCGGCATCCTCTCTCTAGTCCTATAAGGTGTTTTGGGGAAGAAAGTCAATGCGCTGCAGCCCCAGTCCTGAGTCACACTGGAGACCTGATATCGCACAAAAAGCAGGGCATTTCACGTTGCCTTGGCCCCAAAGGGAATTTAAAATGCTAGCATGTTCTTTAAAGGGCCACACTGAATGATGCCCATGGAAGCACTCTGAACACACTATATGGATTTAGCTTAGCATCCACTCCTCACTGTTGGAGGATATCCTGTCCTGAATATCCATAGGGGGACTCTCTCCCAGAGGCTCAAGTCTCTACTACAAAATGGCATATTTGGGGCTGAGAAGATGGCTCAGCCATTAAGAGCAGGTACTGCCTTTACAGAGAACCTAAGTTTGGCTCCCATCATTCCTATCAGGTGACTGACTCACAATTGCCTGTCCAGCTGCAGGGGGATCTAACACCCTCTTCTGGTCTCCATGGGCACCTGCATTCATTTGCACATACCCACACAGAGACATATACATACACACATAAAAAATTTAAATAATTTAGAAGTTCTTTAAAATGACATGTATTCATGCAGTCTATGCAGATCCTTCTGTATATTTTAGACTTTCTCTAGCTTATGCATAAGACTTAATTCAATGTAAATGCTATGCAAATGATTCTTATACTGTATTATGGAATGATGACAAGAAAGGAAATCTGAACGGTATAGATGAGTTTATTTTTCCCGAATATTTGCAGTCTGCACTTAGCTGAGTCCATACCTTCAGACCCATAGACTTGGAGCGTGAACTACATATTATACAGTTTTAGACTGTGTCCCTATAGCGTTCTCTACAGGGCAAGTTCGGCACAAGTTCTTCTTGATGGTGTTGTAGACTGTAAGGCTGCTGGTGATGAGCAAAGACTGCTGATAAAGATGACTTCATGGTCACCTACAGACCAGCAACCCCGAATTTTAAGTTTGAACACATCTCTTATGCCATGTGCCCTCCTGTTCCCCCTCCTTTCTGACATGTGGGTTAAGGGTGTAAAGAGCCCTCCAGTCTGGCACAGGCCCCTTTAAAAATGTACCCAGGCTCTTCCTCTGCCAACCAGGTTGCTAAAAATACGGCTACAGCAAAAGCTGAAATATTTGCAGAGAAAACTGAATTTCCTGCTACCCCCACTCCCTCCACTCAAATGGGTAAAACCCTGACCTTAGAAGCCCTAGCACAGCTCTGCGAAGGCACAAGCCTCCAGTTTTCCCACCCCTTCTTATTATGGAGTCTCTCTGTGGGCTTGAGCGGGGATGTTATGTTCAGAGAGGGCCCACTCCCAGCAGGGGAAGCCACAAGTATTGGCAAATAGATTGTCATGTGACCCTTCAGCTTTTTCTTCCTCTGCTGACTAGGACCAATCCTCTCCAAGCCCCTCTCTGTCTGTCCTGAGGATACGCATTGGACCATAGAGGCTCTACACTCGTGGTTTATCCTCTCACTGGTCTAACCATCTCTTCCCCCTGCCTCACCTCCTAGTCTTTACCTCCACAATCCCTGCTGGCTCCAGCACGGGACTGTAACATGCCCCGGCTCCCTCCTTACTCTGGCCTTTCTGGAACTCTTCTTCTTTCCAAGGTCTACCGTCCTCTCCCGCACCAGCTGCGGGAGCTGGCAAATGGGCAGGGGAGTTGAAACTGGAAGAGTTAAGAAGTAGATGGCCTAAGCCAAATTAGCTCATAAGCAGTTCTCTGAGACTTGACCTCTGACACCAGGCCCTAAGGCTAAACAGACTATGGTGGGAAGCATGACCTGACACCACTTTGCCAAAGACCAGACTCATGCAGCCACACTCAAGGGCCCCAGACTGCATCTGTCCCTTCTCCAAGACATCTAGAAAGCCACAGGCAACAGACCCATCAGCTCACCTTGCTGACAAAGTTCGGGCTCCTTGTCCAGAAGAGGGGCTTCCTACCAGCCTCAGTGTGTGTCCCAGAGCAGTGAGGGAGTCCAACAGGAAGAAGTGGTGGATGTCACAGTGTCACAGCCTGCTTAGGGTGTTTCTGAAGATATGTGAGCAGCCACGGTGCATGCCTTCGAGTCTGCATCTATGTGTCATTTGCTCTGTGCTTCTGAACTGTGAGTGTGTCTGTCTTCTCATTCAAGGCTTTGCCTTCCTCTCTGTCTGTCTTTTCCTCACCTTGAAGTCTGCCCATCCCCCAGGCCAAGCATGAGGCCAGTTCTGTGTGGGCACTTCAAGTGGGCTGCTCCTGAAATGGTTGTTTTGTGGATGGAACTGACGGTGGCCGTATCTGGTATCCCATGGGTCTGCCAGTGTTTAGACACCCTCACTCCACACAAAGGTGTTTTACAGGAGGAAGGGAGGGAGGTGCTGTGTGGGAGTTGGAAGAGGGGGATAAAGATACCCCTCCTTTCAGTTCTGACCAGCAGGAAGAAGGGCCCAGAGGCAGCACAGCCTGCAGAGCTATGTTGCCTAGCAACTCGGGAGACTTTACTGCAAACTCACCAAATCCCAGATTCCTCAGCTCTAATTTGGGAAAAGCAGAGTCCAGACCTGATATCCTCTCTGCCCCTCAGTTTCCCCCTTCCCTCTCCCCTCTGGATGCTGGAGTAAAGGTGCAGGGGAAGTTGGCAAACCAGGGACTCCAGATGTGTCTGTCATTTAGGCAAGGACCCGAGTTCCTAGGACATCCTGCCATTTGGTGGAGGTGGGGGACTAGAGATGTGCCAGAGACAGATTGGGGAACAGATTTGCTGTTACAGGGGTGGGTGGGTCCCAAACATGCTTGGAGAGACACCCCTACACCCCAACTCTGGAATCCTAGCCAGACTCCAGCTCCACTTGGAGCCCCAAACTGGCTAATCCTGACCCCAACCTAAGGGACTCTGGTATATCCCTCCCACTCATGTGCCTTTTAGCAAGGAAAGCCATGGGCCAAATACTCAGTGAAATGGGCACTCAACAGTCCCACTGTTGTGGCTGGCCTCTGACAGTGGAGCCATTGCCGCTCTGCTACTTGGGGTTCCCTGTCCTGTTCAGAGCCATAGGGGATTTCTTCCTCTCTGCTCTAACCCTTCCTTCCCTGTAGCTCCAGCGATCTCAGCTGAGGAGGAATTGAGTTTCCACAGAGATGTCCCAACCACCTGCATAACATGCGACACAGTCAGCTCTACTACCTTGACAGTCTGAGAGGTTAAATGGTCACAAAAAGAACAGGTTGCCTACCCCAGATATCCCTTCCATATCTCTGCTTCCCAGCCTCTCTCCAACCCACTCTCTTCTCCCAGCATGGGCTCAGGGGGTCAGCACTGGCGATGACCTCTATGCTGCTTGAGTTGACAGCATCTTTTTTCTTCCAAAGAGCAAGAGTGAGGGTGGCTAACTTTTGTCTTATTTTGAGGCAGTGAATTAAAAGGTTAGGAAGTCTAGTGTGCAGCTTGGGAAGGGTGGGTGTGCAAAGTCTGTACCAGCATATAAGTGCATCAAAATGGGTGCTGGGCATAAGTGATTTTATTGGTGTGGATGAGTGGAAGGATCGATAGATGGGTAGACAGATCACAGATAGACACAAAACAGATACCTGGTTAGTGGGGCCTTCAGACACTTAGTACTGAAAATAAATGGCTATTGAATGCCCAGTCATAGAGTGGATGTGTATATAAAACCAACCCTTCCAAGGCTCAGACAACGTCATGGGAAAAGGGGTGGAAAGAAGGAGGGAGGTGAGATATGGAATTCTGACTTCCAGGAATGACTTAGCTGTTGCACCCTTGAGCTCACAGCATCCAGGTTACCTGCTCAAGATCTGGACAAGACTGGGCCCGTCAATACTCTGTCATGGAAAGGGGAGGGACTCATGAGGTCCCATCTCTCCCAGAAGATTTATAAGCAGTTAATGGTTGGTGGGGTAGGGAGAGACATTTTCTTCAGTGGTGAGTCACTGGTAAGATGCCTACCTACGCTCCCGTAAACAACCCTAATAAAATTCAGTGGGTTCCTCCCCTCAAAAAAACGACATGATGGTGAAAGGGATACTTGTGGAAAGGGGTGGGAATTATTGGGAGTAGAAGGAAGGAAAGAGAGGCTAACCAGGTGAAAATTATTTGAATACATTATGTACACATATGAAAAAGTCATAATGAAGCCAAGCATTATGTAGAATTAATATATACTAAAACAATGATTTAAATAAAATTTTAGAAAAAGAAACAATTCAATGCAGATATTGCCAGCAGCGGGAATGCTGGCATTTTTGTCTATGAGCTAGCATCCAATTCCAAAACAGGAAGTTTGCAATTTACTTGTGCCTCTTAGGGTGTGTGTACAGGTCCTGTGTGGTTGCTTTTGCCTGTCGTGTCTGCTGTGTCTGTATGTGGAAGGATAGGCATCGTCACTGAGCCGGGAGTATATATGGATGTGTGAGATTTGAAGCGTCAGCATCACTGTGTACCCATCCTGCAGGCTGTGTATCAACAGCTTTCTCCGTAGCTAGAGTGGTGAGAGCAATTCGTTTGCAGTTTCTGGACCTTGTATTTGCAGAGAGGGGAGATAGTGGGGGCAATGTTTGCGAATCTGGGTTGTGAAAGTATAGGGAGGTGGGTGGGGTACGTGGTTGTCTGTGTATGGGCGGTAAGGCGTGCTGCGCCCAGATGTGTGTTTGTGCCCTGGATGTTGGGAGACTTGTGCCTACTCCGACATACATCTGCCTCGCAGTCTGTGGTTTAGAGCAGAGGGATTGAATTTGGGAGATGGGGTGTGTAGGAGGAATGGATGGAAGTGTGTAGGCGGAGGGGTTGGGGCATTAAAGCGAGCAAGGCAGAGAGCGCTGAGAGGGGAGTGGTCCTCGCTCCAGTTCTCCCCGCCCACCCTACTGAAAGTGCCTCCTGATTGGCTTCGAGGCCGCAGTGCTCAGGTTACATTCGCAAGAGTTGCTGAGCGCGGGAGACCGGACCCAAGAGGAGAGAGGTTGATTTTGTCTGGGTTCTGGTCTGGTCGGGTAGTGCCTGTCAGCCCCTGAGCTGCCACCCGATACCGTACAGACCCCCTCGTCCTGCGCCAGGCTCCACCCCAGACAAGGACCCTCATCACCGGCATGGACTGCTGCACGGTAAGTCCATGCTTGAACTCAGCTTGGTCTGGGGCAAGGGGCGCCCGAGAAGCCCTGGAGGGTGAGTGAAGGATGGAAGTGGGTGCGGAAGACCTAGGAGCCATGTGGGGAAAGAGGGTGCAGCGATATTTGTATTGGGTGGTGGAAGGACTGATCTGAGCCAAGCCCCAGAGAGAAATGCTCCCCAGCTCGCGGGGGCGTCTGAGCGCCCAGGGGCCAAGGCAACCTAGGTTGGATCGAGAGCTGAGCAGAGCTTTCCTTCAGGGAAGCTGCAGGTTAGCGTCAGGTGGAATTTCCCCCAGGGAGATACTGGAAATTGTTGCTGGCGCACACAAGTGCTTTCCCTTGGAATTTTTTGTCCCCATATCATTCCCTACCCTATTGCTGCCGTCGTGGACCATGGCAAGAGCTTTACCGACCCTCGGATGATCGTTTAGCCTTTATATGGCTAAGACGGGGAACACCCACCTGGTCTTGGTGGTGATGGGCTGCAAAGAGCCTAGTCAGTGTGGTTCTAGGGAGGAGCTGGCCCGGCCCCCAACGCCTTCTCTTTTAGAAGGTGCTGGGTTAGTGACCGTGAGAGAGCCCTGCTGGCGAGGGGAGGAAGTGTCTGTGTCAGCGCCCACACGGAAACTGGATGCTGCAAGTGCCTAACGCCTAAGCAGATCCTGTTAAGAGGACTTGTGTGACGGCGCCCAGCCCAGGACCTGGCTCCTGGCTGGCTTAAAGAGTAGAGTGGCCAGACCTATATAAAACCTGTGTACTTATCCTTAGCCCCTATCTGCGGAGAAAGACAACTACAAACCCCTAGCATTCTCTTTCTGTCAGCCTGGCTAAAGACGCCAGAGGGTACTTAAACGAGGGCACCCCCACCTTTCACCCACAGTGTGCAATAAATAAATAAATGAGTTTTGAAGGAAAGAGTAACTCATTTCTTTAAGAGGTGAGACTTCCTGATGTCTGGGTGGCAAAAGGCAGCAAGAACTTAGGAGCAAACCAAGATTGAAATTTTAACTCTTGTTAGAATCCATAACAACAGCCGATGTGCCAGTTCTGTGAGGTAGGTCTTTTACAGTTGTACAAACGGAGGTTTAGAGATGTAATTTCCCCCCAGGCAGGCATCGTTGACGAGCGTGGAGCCTGCCCTCTCAAAACCCGTCATTGAAGTATTCTGTTTTCCATTACTGTAAATGCTCATGGCAGTTAATGTATAGACCAGAAAAACTATGAAAAAGAAGCATGCCAATCACATACAGTTCCGCACCTCGAAGAAAACTGACAGTTCCAGGGAAAACTGCTTGTTATTCTCCAGAGAACAGTTTGTTTGCTTGTTTATTTTTTTATTTACTTACTTCCTTATTCTTGGTGCTGGAGATTGAACTCTGGACCTTCTGCGTGCTAAATATACACTCTGCCTCTGAGCTACACACTCAGCCCAGGAATCACCTTTTGGCTCAGAAAGGAGAAATGCAAGAAGAGCCCCTCACCCCCGGCAATGTTTCATTAAGTAAGAAGATAAATAGATGGCAGATTATGAGCTATGAGTCAATGGGGGGAGAGTACTGCCAAGCAAGAAAGGACAGGCTGAGAAAGCTAGAGGATGCAGAAAGGGATCAGGAGACATGGCTAGCAGGAAGACAGGAGTGAGTGGAGGCTCTGGGAAGCCTAGGATGGAATGGAGTTTCTTTCCTTAGGAATCTGCAGGGTGAGGCAGGTGAGATGTTGGACCCCGGCCTGCAAGCCCTGACTGTCCTGGATAGGGCTTGTGAATATCCAGGGAGCCATTGGTGCAGGCTGCCTAACAGTGAGTCCCCAGGAAAGCACTGGTACATGGCAGGTAGTAGTCGCCTGACGGATAACTGATGCTCTTAGATAGTAGCTGAGGGTGTGGTTGGCATGTGTGAACTCAGTAGCCCCTGAGAAGAAGAGGGATGGCCCACCCAGAGGTAGTGAATGCCCAGGACCCTGGGCACCTCCTCCTATGGACCCTGACACAGTCTTCTGTTTTCATGTCCCAAGTCCACGGGACCAAAGGGCCACACAAGATCAATGTCAGTCTCAGCCTGTGGTGGTGGAGGGAGCAGAAAGAGGGGGACAGGGCAAGAAGGGTAGGGGACTGGAGAAGGCCGGGGCTGCCACCAGGCACCCCCATGCCCTATGCTGTAGAGAGAGCAATGTGCCTCTTTATCTTTTACACTGGAACTCCCCTCCAGAACCAACCCACCTGATGTTTGGGAAGAATTTAGTCTTTTCTTACTTGTCTTCCCCTTCCCCCACCCCTTGGTAAGCAAGCTTAGACAGAAATGAGGAAGAAGAAAACAGATCTGTGTTCTTTTTTTCAAGGAATGTTTTTCACAGAGCTATTAGTCAATGTTCCAGTGCCTGACTGACATAACCAACATACGTTACTTTTCTGCCTTAATTTAATAGGAAAAGGGATCTGTTTTGATATCTCACTCCTTTTTTTGTAGTCTAGTTGACTCCACAGCAGTTAACAGCAACTGCCCCAGGCAGTGGTTGCAGTACAAGCTTCTGAACCGGATCATTTCACTATTTATTTGCTGTGCAAACCTGGGGGAGGTAGAAAATGTCTCTGAGGTTGTTTCTTCACTTCTAAAATGGGGATTATATGGGATAAAATGTGCCAAGTGTTTAGCACAAGGCCGACATATAACAGTCAGCAGACGGGCATCGTTTGGGGGGGCTGTAGGATACCATTCACCTGTGCTAAGCTCTGCTTGGCACAGAAGAAAATGAGAGTCTCGGAGGCAAAGTGGTGTACCCATCCATAGCTCCTCCTTTTTGGCAAGTGCATTCCCCCCACCCCTGGATGTCCCCAGTTCATTCAGAGTCCCTCGGCACAGGCTGGCATCAGTCTTGACTTTAGGAGGCAGTTGCCCAAGCACCATGACCAATGAGCAGACCCTGGGTTCCTTTCCCTTTTGCCTCCAGTTCTGCCTATGGGTAGCCATGAGCATCCTGTCCTAAGGAATCAGCCAGAGGGACAGGGAGCAGACTCAGGGGAGGAGCATCATAGGCAGCCTTATGCTAGCCCTGTGGGGGTGGCTTTGCTTATTTTTCCAGGTTTTGATTCTGGTGGTGATAAGGTCAGGTTAGGATGGTTGGAAAAAAACACTCCTTCAGCACTCAACCCCTCAGCATCAGTTCGCAGCCTTTAGGGTTCTCAAGACCAAGGAGAGGGGACCTGGAATCGCTGTTTGGGCTGGGTGTCCTCCCTCTCAAGATGTCTATTTCCTGAGACTATTCCAAGAAAGACTTGCACTCAGAGAATCAGAAAACCCAAAGGAGTTGATTTGGATTTTATGTGAAGAACAAGATGTCAGGGACAGCCCTGGAGCTAAGAAAGACAGAAAGATAAAGGGTGTTTTAGGCCCATCCATCCTCACTCATACTAGGCTCTTGGCAACTCCTTGAAACTGTGTTTAAATCGATTGAGAAGCATCTTGAGCACAAATTCGGGAACTCTGAGGCCCAGGAAATGAGAGCAGCTGGGGAAACATGAGGAGGAGGAGTCATCTGTAAACTTGGGCTTGGGCTACTGGAGTAAAAAGCTACAGGATGGGTATGGTAGCTCACACCTGTATTTTCAACACTTAAGAGGCAGGACAACTGTGGGAAGTTCAAGACTAGCCTGGCCTACACAGCAAGTTGCTTGCCATCTAAGGCTACATGGTGAGTCCTTGTCTCAAAACATAAATCAAAATTAGCCAGGTGGTGGTGGCACACGCCTTTAATCCCAGGAGGCAGAGGCAGGCAGATCTCTGTGAGTTCGAGGCCAGCTTGGTCTACAGAGCGAGTGAGTGCCAGGACAGGCTCCAAAGCTACACAGAAAACTGTCTCGAAAAATCAAAATTAATAACAATAATAAAAGGTAAAAAATCAAAATTAAAAAATGTTTGTAGGGCAAATCTGTCAAGGACAGAGGACACTGAATCCTCACTTGTATCCTGCTCGTTCCTAACTATCAGATACAAAACTGATGGCCAGGATGAGGCAGAAGCTTACAGAATGAGGTTTTGGCCACCTGATATGAGAAGAGAGAGACAGGGAAACCAGTGAGCACTCTGGTCAAGAAATAAAGACAAAATTCCAGAAGCCTTAGGAGGCAGACCAAGAGAAAATGCCCTTCTGACATCATAGCAACATCCCTCCCCAGTCATTACTGATGCTGCAATGATCAGCCTCTGAAATTGATATCATCAATTTCTTCATCCTTTCTTTATTCTTTTTTTGCCTGTAGTGGGGTGGTGGTGTGTCTGTGCATGTCTGAGACAGGATCCTAGGCAGCCCAAACTCCTCAATTTCCTCAAACTCCTGATCTTCCTTCCTCGGGCATCATAGCTCCATAGTACTGAAAGTACAGGCATCTGCCACCATGTCTGATTTTCATCCTTTTTAGTTTCACGTAGAGCGAGGTGACAGAGGAACTGAAATTGACATGAAAACATGCCCACAGTACTCTGTAGATAGAGGCAGTATAAGATTGAGAGTTCAAGGCTTGCCTGGGACACAAGCTGCCTTCTGTAGGGATGTAGCTAAATGGTAACCATTTGCCTATCATGCACAAGGCCCTGGATGAGAAACAGCAGGAGTAAGAGAAAGTGAAAGAAAGGAAAGGGAAGGGAAGGAACATTGGGGCATAGAGATGGCTTTAATTATATCACACATTCCTTAATGATGGACTATGTTCTGAGAAATGTGTCATTAGACAAACTTCACAATGGTGCAAACATTACAGGGTGTATTTATGAAACTAGGATGGCTATGGCATCACTAGTTGGTATGATCCTAAGAGACTGCCATCATACACATGATCATATACGTGACGTATCACTGGTCGGACCATTGCATGGCACATGACATGTTATTAGGACAAACTGTGCAAGATTGTTGTTATAGGACAACTTTGGCCTTACATAAGCAATCATTTTACATCACCTTTTCCAAGATAATCATAGCATAGCTACTGTTTTCTGATCAGCTAGATTATGCCAGAAACTTTCTGGATACCATGTGATTTTACTGTTCTCCAGAACCCACAGAGGTGACTAGTATAATCCTGATTTTCTCAAATGGAAGAGTTAAGACTGAGAAGGCTCAGATAAACTTCCCAAAACCACACCATTGCAACAAAGAGTAAAGCTAAGCTGGTCAGCTGGTTGCATTTCCTTTCGTAGGCATTAAAATGAACTCTAGAACTTGACATACAAGGTTCAAATCTACCAATAGCTGATAATTGTCTGGGACTCCGGGTAGGTTTTTTTGTTTTATTTTGACATTCTAATCATTGACTTTTATCATGGTAAACTCAAGTAAGCATGAAAGAGTGTGGCAGCTTTGTTGCTGAGGAAGAACTAAAAATACCTTCGCAAACACCACTGTGGCACCTGGGACAAAGTAAGGGCTTAAAGGAAGCTGCTGGCTACGTTTCTTCTGCGGACACTGACAAAAGAACTTCTTGTCTCCTGTTTCTTTTTTGTTATTGTTATTTTACCTCTTTTTGGTGTGTGAGTCCAACTCTGGGCACAGTAGGAAATGGCAAGCCCAATGGGAACACAGAATCCCGGCCTCTGGCTGAATCAAGGAGCAGTGACCTCCATCTACTCCCCAAACTCCAGTCTTGAGCTCTGGTGCAGTACTACTGGGGTGGGGGTGCTTTGTAGAAAATATTTGTGTTCACTCCCTGGAGAATCCTATACGCAGAAGGGCCCTTCTGAGCTGGAGGCATCTTCTCAGAGCAAAGGGTAATCACTTTTAGGAGTTCGGCTGCTTTTCCAGACTTTTCACTCAACTCCACAGCACCCTGGAACTAAAGCTCCTTTCAGTAGGGCTAGCTGGCTTTCTCCTTTCTCCCTTCTCCCATGCACTTTCTTCCTGTGTCCTTTGGCCCAGAACCTCCTTAGTAGCTGCTGCCTAGGAGGTGCGCTCACCGGTCCCTCAAGAGGCTTCCAGCTCTGCTTCTCCCACCGCCCTCCAGGTCCTCCCAATCTTCCAGGGCACTAATTTATTCCATCCCCTCGGGAGTATGGGCCTTATCAGCCATAAGAATCCCTGCCCCATCCTCAGGAGAGCGCCTGCTCCAAGCCAGACGACGATATTCTAGACATCCCGCTGGATGATCCGGGAGCTAACGCCGCTGCAGCCAAAATCCAGGCGAGTTTCCGAGGCCACATGGCAAGGAAGAAGATAAAGAGCGGAGAGTGCGGCCGGAAGGGACCGGGCCCCGGGGGACCGGGCGGAGCTGGGGGCGCCCGGGGAGGCGCGGGCGGCGGCCCCAGCGGAGACTAGGCCAGGTGAGACTGGCTAGGGGGCATGGCGGGCCGGAGGCTCTTGGTTTTCGCGCTTGCTCGGAAAAAGCTTGGGAAGGCTAAGATTGGGGTGATGGTGGAGAAGAACGTGGAGGGAGTTAAGGGTGGGGACCTAGGACAACGAGACAGGTGGGTGAGAGAAGGCCAAGGATGCTAATGTGCCTAGAGCTCACTTGTTTCTTCCTCCCTCATTTCTGCCTCACCTTGAATCGAAGAACTGAACGTTTTAGAAGGTAATTAATACGTCTCCAAGGCTGCAAAGTGTGTAGGGGAGGATACTGGGTGGGAGAAATGACCCCATTGCCCAGTCCTCCTCTCTGCTTGCCGTTAACCCCTCCCTGTCACGGAACATAACTTTGCAGCCCCTCTGGTATGCCGAGATGCCTGAGGCTGCAGTAGGAATACACATGAACCAACACCGACACGCAGTCACCCTCATTTGACTGCACGAGCGCAGCCGAAGGCCATACGCACTAGGAGAGGCTCACGTACCAGCCCCGGGGCTAATTTCAACTCAGTGAGCAGGGGAGGGCGTGTGGGTGACACACCCCGAAAGGGAGGTGGGGGATGGCTCTAGCAGGGGGCAGATTCTCAGACCTTCTCTCTCTTCAGTTCCAGAGGAGAGATGGATGCCGCGTCCCCTTCGCAGTGACAAGACTTCCCTACTGTGTTTGTGATCCTCTCCTTCTCACCAACCAGCCAGCTTCAGGAGCCCTCCCCACCACCTCGCCCCGCCGCGTCCTAGAGACTCCCTCTCCAGGCTGGCTTCGTCGCGACGTCGCCAAGTCCGTACCCTTTTAGTTAGCTCTCCAGTCTAACGTGGCCCCCTTTCACCTTTTCTTCCCACCCTCATCCCAAACCCCATATTCGCAAAATTGTCCTTTTGCTTCACACCCACCTGTCCCTGCGCCCAGCATGCAGCTCTGCCTCCGCAGCCTCGGTGCGCTTCGCTGCGCGTACTGCAGAGGGCGCCCAAAGCGTCGCCCAAGTACTCTCAAAAAAGAAAAAGAAAAGCAACCATCACAAGTCCTTTCGTTCTGTGGGCAACGAAAGGGGGCGCCCCGAGTTTTTGTACCGTCACCCCAGCCTAGCCTCAACCCCTTAAACCTGGGGCTAGGAAAGAGGGGAAGAGGGTGTTCATGGTGTCTGATAATGCCCCTTGCTCTGATGGGAAGAAAAGTCCAATCCCACACCTGCCGGTCACCCACTTTTCCTTCCTAGCGCACCCGAGAGCAGCCCCTCCCGCTCTCCTTTGTTTATGCAAAAGCCTCCGTGCGCCGGGAGGCTCGGTAGGAGGAGTCTTCCGCGGCCCTGCCCCCAGATAGCCCCTCCCCCGTTGGGCTCCTGGGGTTGTGGCTGGAAGGTTTTTAATCTCTGCGTGTGCATGTTACCATTCTGGGTTGGAATGTGAACAATAAAGAGGAATGTTCAAGTGTTCAGAGGGTGCAGGGTGGGAGGCGGGAGGGAATGGGAAGTGAGGGGGGAAGGGTTTGCATCAAATCTCTAATGGGAGTCGAAACAAACGGAATTGAAGGGCGAAAGGTGTGCAAAGTCACCTAGGATGAAACCTATCCTTTTGACCCTGCCGAACTTCCTGCTGGAGCATCATTTCTGAACTTTCAGATCCATTCCTCCCCTTACTGGTAGTACTCTTTGGATCACGGAGAGGAGAGAAATTCACCACACCAGTAAAGGAGGCAACATGTTATCCAAGGACTTTAATTATTAACATTACCCTCACCACCCTCAGGGATCAGAAGTCAGACAACCATAGAGAGTTTGGACTTGGTCGTCACCATGCTGGCGGATGGGGACTTCTCCAGGAGCCCTTTGCTGAAATCGGCCCTCCTAGAAGCTTGCTCAGAAATCCCAGGTGCGGTGGCATCCTCCCTGAAGGATACAAGCAAAGACATACAGAGGCTAGAAACATCATCCTTCAGGCAACTGTCATCCCCTAACTCAGGAACATTTAAACTTTGCTCTCCTGAGAATCATCTGCAGAACTTTGTTTAAAATTAAGAGAGTCCAGGCCCTGTCTCCCCTGACACACACACTTTGCCTAAGGAGTGCCTCTTAGGCACGAGCTTGTAATTCCCGAACTGGAGAGATGGAGAGAGGTGGATGGATCCCTGGGGCTCACTTGCCATCTAGCTAAGTTGTCCCCTGACTTCCACACGGGTGACAGAGCACATCCACCCTTCCACACAGGTACAACATGAACACACAATGAATAACCTTCCTAAAAAGGCCAGGTTGTCTTCTGGCCACATCCATGCACACTCACCTGTATGATCACATACACACGTACATTTGTGCACATGGAGACACACACACAAAGAAATGACCAGGTATGGTGGTGCACACCATCAATCCTAGTACTTGGGAGCAGAAACGTGAGAATCTCTGTGAGTTTGAGGTCATCCCTATATCTACATAAGAGGTGCGGGCCAGCCAAGGCTACCTACTGAGACCCTGTCTCAGGAAAGCAAAAGAAATGCTATACCAATCCCTGTTCTGACCCCATGCCTTGCAGCTAAAATGTCAAGTGTATAACAAAGAGAGCTTTGGCCTTTTGTGTTTGCCATTCCCAGAATAACTAATCTCAGGACAAATGCCACTCCTGGCATCCACCATCCATCTCCCTTCAGTACTTCCATGTGAGGTGTGTGTGTGTGTGTGTGTGTGTGTGTGTGTGTGTGTGAATGTCTCACATGGAAGTATGTATGATTACACACACCTATATATATATATATATATACATATATACACATACACACTTAAAAGCATTAAGTGAGGTATGTACATATATATGGATCCTGTTGTGTATCTATGTATACACATTAAGAACAGAAAGAAACAGGGGTAGTGGCACAGCCTTTAATCCCAGCACTTGAGAAGCAGACGAATCTCTGTAAGTCTGAGGCCAGCCTGGTCTACAGAGTGAGTTCCAGGACAACCAGGGCCACACAGAGAAACTGTGTCTTGAAAACAAACAAAGAAATAAAACAAAAAGAACCAAAGGAAAAAATTTCATTGTGAAGAGGAGGATCATCAAGGCAGTCCTGAAAACTGAGCTATTCCTATCTTAGCTTATGAACCCATTCCTCCATCCTGTGCCAGAGCTGAGCACCAACTCCCATCCTTAAATACTTCCAATGACATCAGCCTGAAGGCTAAAGACATCCACTTTGAGCCCAAGATCTTTCATTGCCCTCAGCACCATCCCAGTTTTCCTGCTCACCGAAGGTCACTCCCCCTGTATGTCTCCTTGGGCTCCTTCTTCCTCTCTTTCTGGAACCTGATCAGGCAGAATGCAGCAACTGACAGCAGCAGCACACCCAGGAGCACCCCAATCAGTGTCCCGGCCACTCGGCCTTCAGACGAGTCTAGGGAGACAGGACCTTCAGAGTTGCCAAAGTTTGGGGCCCACTTTCAGAATGTCATGTAGTCTTCCCAAGCCAAACCTTTCCCACAGGGCTCTACACAGTATCCCCTACCAGTCACTGAGAGGTCCAGCTCGCAGGAGGCACTGCCCATCTGGTTGCTGGCCACACAACGGTAGATTCCAGAGGATGTCAGAGAGAGATTGGTGAGAATGAGCTGGCCAGACACTTCATCTAGAGAATGAGAAGGAAGTAAGTTACCATGCATTCAACTCACATGAGGCCATGCTACCACTACAATAGCTCAATGCAGTCAGTCCTTAAAACAGTCTACCAAGAAAGGTCTAACCCCTTTGATTGGAGGGAATCCTGGCTCAACGGGAGTAATTTGAGAAGACCCAGAGAGGAAGTCCAAAGCCAGTACAGCTTCTGCAACCTTGCCACCCCCATCCAGCTGCTTTCTTCGGGGAGGAGAAACTGCATGTACAGGAAGGTGAAATGCAAGGTGGGGTGTTTACTGGATGAGCTCAGATCCTGAGTAGTAGCAAAAGTCTTAATAACTAAACATCCATCTTCTAGAATAGCCGTAAGCTGACCCAACTGCTTTTCTGAACTCCGCTGCCTCCAAAGGCAGAGAACTAGGGGAGGAAACTTGCTGGATAAAGGGGTTTACTGGAATGGTAGCTACAGAATGAAACAGGACATCTGGAACCAACGACAGGAAACTAAGGCTCTCCAGAGAAACCTATCGAATGTTTGAGGCAGTCCATGCTACTCTTTCGTTTCCTCTAGGGGGTTTGGAAGCCATTTGTGGCCCCTTAAGAAATCCCCAATGAGTGGACAAATAGGAACTGGAAGACAGTTTCCTGCCCCCTACTCTCCCAGGCTATCAGGATATTTAGAAGTATTTCCCAAGCAGCAGCAGGAAGACAGACAGGAAGGCATGAATACAAGAAAGGAGGTAATGGGCCTTAGTCATGAACTGGTGTGGGGTGTGGGGTTTAGAGACCCGATCTTAGGTCTCCAACCCCATCTCCACAATGCCCTGCACTCTTACCTTGAACCATGCTACCAGGAGGAGGTGTAGGAGAAGATCCGAGCCGGACCCAGTTGTACACGGGCTTGGGAGCTCCCTCGGAAGAGCTGCATCTCAGTGCAACAGAGCCTCCCACTGAGGTTTGCCCACTGTGGCTGCATACGGGCTCACTGGGGGCCACTGCCAATTTCACAGAAGAACCTCAGTGATCCTCCCATCCCAGACCTGATGATGTCAACACTTTCTGTTTGAACATCTTCGCCAAATCGTGGTTCATACCTCGGGAGTGATTTCCACTCCCGGGAATTCTAAGTCTTAGAAAGGTCTTCCTCATTCTGAGCCCAAGCACGTTGTTAATACAATAGGCGCTGATTAATTACAGTTTTTGCCACTAGGGCCCATAAATAGAGAAATTACAGTTTCTTCTCCACATCAAGTCCCTTCAGATATTTGAATATACAGGACACACACCATATCTTAGGTCTTCTCTTTTTTATATAAACATCCCTGTCTGCTCTCAAAACTTCTTGCTCAGCTTTGAACAGGCTCTGACTTAGGGTGAGATGGAAGCTCTGAACACAATATGGTACTCAGTTATAGAGGCTTTGTTCCTCTAATGGCCCCTTCCCTTCTTTGTCACTGACATTGGGTGCGACAGAATCCAAATATGAGGTTTCTGAATGAATGGGGGAGTATGGCTGAGCCCTCCCCCCATAGTTGGTTCTCTTTCTCTCTCTTTGCTTTCCTCTCTTTCTATATGTGTTTCTCCTTTCTCTCTCTCTCTCTCTCTCTCTCTCTCTCTCTCTCTCTCTCTCTGTGTGTGTGTGTGTGTGTGTGTCTCTCTCCTTCCCTCTCTCTTCCTCCTCCCATCCCCCCACATTGATACTAGGCCCTAAGGGAGATACTGTGGGGTAGAGTTGGAGTATAACCATCTAGATTAAAAGTCTTGGGAAGGGGTAATGTTTTCTGGAGGCTCCCAGTGCAGCTGTGGACTTGGACTTGGACTTCAAATCAGGACAGGAGTGGGGGCGGGGGTGGGCAGGGTCAGTGCACACTTAGAAGGTAGGAGCCTTACCAAGCACGGTAAGGTTGATTAAGCCCAACCCATTGGTGTAGAAATCTGGGGGGTTGTTAACATTGCAGAGGTAGGTTCCGGTGTCTGAGGGGCGGAGGTCAGTCAGTTTCAGAGTAGCCACTCCTCCTGTGGGGGGGTTGTGGAGAAGGCTGGCCCGATCTGCTTTAGAGCCAGTGGGATACAGGTGGTCATTGGTGAAGTACAGGATCTAAGAAGAAGCCCAAGGTGTTCATGTCCCCAATGTATACTCTACTATCAACCCCACACCACCTCGGGTTCTGTGAATTTGTTAACTGAAACAGGTTATGCTTGCTAAGGGGAATTGAACACAGGAGCTGTGGAAAGGAAGGGAGAATGTAGGGCCAACGTAGCTGAAGCCCCAGGAGGTAAACGCCCTCCCCACCCTTCATCCTGGCCAACCCCAGCAGGCACAGCTGCCCTGACTCACAGGAAGAGATGCAGAGATGGGTTTCCCAGGCTGCACAAAGCTCCACTCCAAGGCGAAGTTGTCCCCCACGGACGTGCTGTACCTGCAGCTCAGCTCTGCAGTCTTGCCCTTGGGCATGCTCAGTGGCTCAGTGGGCACGGTCACCTCCACGGCTAGCCCTGGGACTGAGGAACCCAATCCCACCGATCTAGAGGGTCCATCCCACACTACCGTGATTGTTTAGAGGCTGGGGCTTCCCTTGCCACAGCGTAACACCTCCTTCAATTCAACCCCTTGTCTCCTGAAACTAGGTTTCCGGGAGGGAGGAGCCCACGACCCAACCCGGTTTTTGTGTGTAAAAGGTCCAAGACTGGGCCAGGTATGAGGATGTATTGACAGAAAAGGAAACAAGAAAAGGCCCTGCGGTGGTAAATCCTTAGATGGCGAGAGAGGCTGAATTCATTAGCCTGCCAGCTTGCCTACCTGCTCCTTCCTCCCTGCTTTCAATGGCCCC